CGTGGAGGCCTCTTGGGCCGTCTTGGGAGCCTCTTGGGGCCGTCTTGGGCCTCTTGGGCGATCTTTGGGGGCACTCGGGCCGTCGGAAGGCAGAACAAAAGCAAATGCCACGAGCCTTCAAAACTCAGGGGGAATCAATGAGTTGGGTTTTTTTTCGGGCTTTCCTGGAGGCCCTCTTGGAGGCCTCTTGGGCCGTCTTGGGCCATCTGAGGGCCATCTTCGGCTGTCTTGGTGGGCTCCTGGCCAGTCCGACGCCGTCGGAAGCCGTTTGGGGGCCTCTCTGGGCCGACTTGGGGCCCTTTTGGAATGCTCCAGGGCTGTCTTGGAGGCCTTCTTGGGCGTCGTGGAGGCCTCTTGGGCCGTCTTGGGAGCCTCTTGGGGCCGTCTTGGGCCTCTTGGGCGATCTTTGGGGGCACTCGGGCCGTCGGAAGGCAGAACAAAAGCAAATGCCACGAGCCTTCAAAACTCAGGGGGAATCAATGAGTTGGGTTTTTTTTCGGGCTTTCCTGGAGGCCCTCTTGGAGGCCTCTTGGGCCGTCTTGGGCCATCTGAGGGCCATCTTCGGCTGTCTTGGTGGGCTCCTGGCCAGTCCGACGCCGTCGGAAGCCGTTTGGGGGCCTCTCTGGGCCGACTTGGGGCCCTTTTGGAATGCTCCAGGGCTGTCTTGGAGGCCTTCTTGGGCGTCTTAAAGGTCTCTTGGGGCCGCCTTGGGGGCCTCTTGGGCCGTTCTGGGGCCATCTTGGAGGCCTCTTGGGCGATCTCTGGGCGATCTTTGGGGGCTCTCGTCGGAAGGCCGAAACGAAGCAAATCTCAAACTCCTTGAACAACCTATGGGAAATCACTATTCTTGGCCTTTTTCTGGCCTTCCTGGAGGCCCTCTTGGAGGCCTCTTGGGCCGTCTTGGGCCAGCTTCGAGCCAGCTTCGGCTATCTTGGTGGGCTCCTGGCCCGTCAGACGCCGTCGGAAGCTGTTGGGGGAGCCTTTCTGGGCCGACTTGGGGCTCTCTTCGGGTTCTCCAGGGCCGTCTTAGAGGCCATATTGGGCGTATTAGAGGCCTCTTGGATCATCTTTGTGCCCTCTTGGGGCCGTCTTGGGGGCCTCTTGGGCAGTCCTGAGGCAATATTGCAGGCCTCTTGGGCGCTGTGGGGGCGATCTTGGGGGCCTCTTGGGCCGTCTTGGGTCGTCGGAAAGCCGAGAAGAAGCGAATGCCACAATCCTTCAAACAGCTAAGACAAATCAATGATTTTGGCCTCTTCGGGCCCTCCTGGAGGACCTCTTGGAGGACCTCTTGGAGGCCTTTGGGGCCGTCTTGGAGGCCTCTGGGGGGCCTTTTGGGCCGTCTTGGGCCGTCTTGGCCTCTCTTGGGCCGTCTTGGAGGCCGTCTTGGACCACCTTGGGCGAACTTGGAGGCTATTTTGGACCATCTTGGAGACCATCTTGGGCCAACGTGACCATATTGGAGGCCATCTTGAGCCGTCTTGGCGGATTTTTTGTGCAGGCACCTCTGCGATGAATCGACAGGGGGCGGCGGATTATCGAATGGCCTTCGGCACATTCAGCCACCTTGCCTGGGCTGCGGGTCTGAGGCCACGCGGATGGCGGACGGGGTCTCGTGGGTGGCGCCTGGGGATGTTTTGGAAGCAGTTTTTGCACCACTTGGATGCCGCTTGGGGCATCTTGGGCGCTGTTTTGGAGCCTCGCGGAGCTCCCTGGGAGCTTGTCGGGGGTTGCATGGGACAACGGGGCGGCGGTTTGGGGTGGAAGGCTCGAAATGTCCGTCCGGGTTCCCCCTTTGAACCCCCTTTGAGGCTATCCTGGAGCCCTCCTGGGCTGTCTTGGGGGCTTCTTGAGCGGTCTTGGGGCACTGTTGGGTTGTCTGAGAGCTCTCTTGGGGGCCTCTTGGGCCGTTCTGGCGCGACCCAGGAGGCTGATCGCAGGAAAGGTGAATGTGCTAAACATGCAAGTTGTCCTATGCTCTTTGAGGCCGTCTTGGGACGCCTCTTGATGGCTTCTTGGGGGCCTCATGGGCCGTCTGGAGGCCAGCGTGGGCGTTCTGGATCGATCCTTCGGCGGCTCGTGGCCCTTTTGGACCGTCCAGAGGCACTCTTGGCCTGTTTTGGGGCCCTCTGTCCCCCCGTTGCCGGCGAATTGTGGCATTCGGGGTATGTTGGGGTGGTCTGGTAGGCAGTCAGAGGAGGAGGAGGAGGAGGAGGAGGAGGAGGAGGAGGAGGAGGAGGAGGAGGAGGAGGAGGGAGGATGAGGAGGAGGAGGAGGGGAGGAGGAGGAGGAGGAGGAGGAGGAGGGAGGAAGAGGGGAGGAGAGGAGGGGAGGTGGGGAGGAGCAGAGGGAGGATGAGGAGAGGAGGAAGGGGAGGGGGGGAGAAGGGAGGGGGTGAGGGTGGGGATGGGCAAGCTCCGTCGGAAGGTCAATCACCCGCTCTGATACATCACCCATCCAGAGTACTTGCTGGACTGCACCTGGAAAAGATTGTGGGAGGAGTCTCGACCCGGCTTGTCCTCACGGCGGGCAGCAGCCTACATGCGGAATATTGCCGCGTTCAGCGCGGTCTCCAGAGGGAAAGCGCGCCAGTGGATGGCCCTGAATACACAAAAGGGGGGTGTGTTCGCAGACCACCCCCCCTCCCCCCCTTCAAAGGGGGGGTGGGATTTTCGACCCCCCTCCTCCCCCCCTTAAGGGGGGGGTCCGAACCCCCACCCCCCCTCCCTTGAAGGGGGGGGAGGGTCGGACCCCCCCCCTCCCCCTCCCCCCCTTGGCGCTGGAAAGGGGGGGGGGGGTTCGAACCGACCCCCCCCCTCCCCCTTTGCTCCGAACAGGGGTCTGGGGAGGGGGCTTCGCGGGTAGTGAGTAGGGAGTAGAGTGTTTTGAGTAGCGATTGGTGAGTAGTGGGTATTTGATAGTGAGTAGTGCGGAGTGAATCGTCAGTGGTGAGTAGTGAGTAGTGGATAATGGATAGTGGTAGTAGTGAGTAGCGCGTAGAGGTTAGTGAGTAGTGAGTACTGAACAGTGGGTAGTGAGTAGTGAGAACGAAGTAGTGAGTAAGGAATTGTGAGTAGCGAGTAGTGCGGAGTGAGTAGTTTGTAGTGAGTAGTGCATAGTGAGTAGTAGGCAGGGAGTAGGGATGAGGGAGTAGACAGTAGCGAATAGCGAGGAGTGAGTAATGAGTAGTGAGTAGTGAGTAGTGCGCAGTGCGCAGTGAGTAGAGAGTAGTGAGTAGTGAGTGGTGAGTAGCGAGTAGCGGGTAGCGAGTAGGGAGTAGCACGTAGGGAGTAGCGAGTAGTGAGTAGTGAGTAGCGAGTAGGGCGTTGTGAGTAGTGAGTAGTCAGGAGGGCGAAGTCAGGAGTCACTAGTGAGTAGTTAGTAGGGAGTAGTGCGTAGCGAGTAGGGCGCAGCGAGTAGTGAGTAGTGAGTAGTGAGTAGTCACTTGTGCGTAGTGAGTAGGGAGTAGCCAGTAGTTTGTAGTGAGTAGTGAGAAGCGAAAAGTGGGTATTGAGTAGAGGGTACTGAGTAGGGAGTAGCGAGTAGAAATTTGTGAGTAGTGAGTAGTGAGTCGTGACTAGTGAGTAGTGGGTAGTGAGTAGCGACTTGCGATTAGTGACTAGCGAGTAAGGAGTAGTGAGTAGTGAGTAGTGAGTAGTGCGTAGTGGGTCGTGAATATGTCGATTGTGATAGCGAGTAGCGTATGGTGAGTGGTGAGTTGTGGGCAGTGCGTGGTGAGTAGTGAATTAATTGTGAGTTCTCATTAGTACGTAGTGGATAGTGGTTAATGGGTAGTGAGTAGTGATTACTGAGTAGTGAGAAGTGGGCAGTGAGTAGTGTTTACTGAATAGTAAGTACTGGGTATTGGGTAGTGAGTAGTGCGTAGTGAGTAGCGAGTTGGGGGAAGTACGTAGGGTGTAGGAAATAGTAAGTCGTGCGTAGTGGGAGCGTAGTGAGTAGTGAGTAGTGGGTAGTGAATCGTGCGTATTGGGTAGCGAGTAAGGCGTAGGGAGTAGCGACTAGTGCGTACTGAGTACTGTGTAGGGAGTAGGTAGTAGCGAGTAGCGAGTAGATGATATCGGGTAGTGATTTGTGGGCAGTGTGTAGTGAGTAGTGAGGTGTGAGTAGTGCGTAATGGATAGTGGTTAGTAGGTATTGAGTAGTGATTTGTGATTGGTGAGTAGTGGGTAGTGAGTTGTGTTGAGTGAGCAGTGAGCATTGAATAGCGGGTAGTGAGTAGTGAGTAGTTTGTAGTGAGTTGTGAGTAGCGAGTAGGGAATCGGGAGTAGTGATTAGTGCGTCGTGAGTAGTGAGTCGTGGGTAGTGAGTAGTGAGTCGTGAGTAGCGAGTAGTGAGTAGCGAGAAGTGAGTAGTGAGTAGCGAAGATTGTGGGTAGTGAGAATTGAGTAATGAGTAGTGGGTAGTGGTCGGGGCTAGGATTTGGGTTTGGGTCTAGGGTTAGGGGTTAGGGTAAGGGTGAGGATTAGTGTTAGGGGTGGTAGGGGTCGGGTTCCGGAGACCGGGGGCGCCGTGGCGAAAGGGGGGGAGGGGGAGGGGTTCGAATTTGGCGGCCAAAAGAGGGCAGGAGGGGGGGGGGTCGGAATTACCCCCCCCCCCTTTTTGAAAGGGGGGGAGGGGGGGGGGAAGTTCCCCGACGACGGACGGGAAGGGGGGGGGGTCCCCGACGACGGATCGGGAAAGGGGGAGGGGGGGGGGTTCCCCGACGACGGATCGGGGAAGGGGGGGGGTCCCACCCCCCCCCTCCTTTGGGTCATCCAGCGGCGCGCCCTCCTCCAGAGGTCGGCCAACCCCTAAGAGGGCTGGAGGCCCTCCCGCAGTCGGCGGGTATGCTGACGCTACACAGTCAGCGTTCATGGGTTCGCTGATGGTGTGCTTGTAGGCCTCCCAGATGGGTGGTCCGAGCAGTTGTGGTCGGAGGATCGCGCCGCATCGCTCGATGCATCGCCGATGAGGCTCGATGTAGAGCCCGATTTTTCTCCACGCCGATGGCGCCGATGCATTGGCGATGTATCGCCGATTCATCGGCGATGCGGCGCGATCCTCCGACCTTATCAACTCGGACTACATCTAGGAGAGCTCTGGTGTTTCGTCTGAATCCATGCCCTCTCCCTCCTGCAGACATCCCTCGCCGCCTCCCGATACAAGGATTCCTTCTCCTTCTTCCTCCACATCTCACGTTTTGTCGGCTTACGTGCGTCAGTTTTTGTGCATGTGCGAATGTATACATGGAGGCTCACGCCCCGCCCGCCTGGTCTTAGAGTGGTCCAGAGGATACGCCGCATTGGTGACCCGCTCGCCCGCTCGCTTTGCTGAAGGCTCTGGCCGTTGTTTACGCGCGGCATGACTTGCGGATGAGCGAACGATCAATTCAGGACGCATGATGTCCGAGAGTAGTCTGGCGATACTTGCACCACGGGCTGCGCGTTTTCCCAGACTCCGCGCACACGACCCCTGCATGCCTGCACCCGTGCGTCTGGCCCTCAGCATCTGGCCTTCTCTGCGTTGCCAGCGCATTCCTGCCTGGCTTGCCGGTGGAACCTGAAGCCGTGATGAGGCGCGCGTCATGCGCCGCTCACTGGCTGGCATGGAGCCCAGTGCTCGTTGTACATCTGGCGGTGATATCCGTGCCTGCGCAGTCTGCGGCCAGTCACGAGGTATCCTTGCCTTGTGCTCATGCTGACCATCGCAGTATCTGGCCTCTCCTAGTGTGGGCTGCGCGCGCAATACCATGTACCCAGTCGCTGGATGTGGCTCTCCCGATCTCGTGTGTGGGTGTGTGCCAGGCAGACGTCTTCTGCCGACCTCTGCCTGAAAAATCCAAAGAAGTCTCCCTGGGGGTGGCGCTTCGCCCCGCATCCGTGCCCGACTGCCCCATGGGGGCCCGAGAACACCGGGCCCCAGCGAGGCCGGAGTCGAGGAGAGACGCCGAGGAGGAGTTATCTAAGCAACGACGCGCCGCCGGAGCTCTGCCGCTCTCCCCCCCTTCCGCTGCCGCCCCCCCCCCCCCCTCCCCGAGCCTGCGAGGCGGGACCCGCTGCGCCCCGCCGTGGCCCTCCTCTGCCCCGAGCTCTTCACCGCCCACCAAACCACCCCAACCCAACCCGAAGGCCTCAACATGCCCTCCACTTCCAGTCGGGGGGGGTCGCGGAGCATCGCAACAAAAACCCCCGGAACCCGCACCCCCCCCCCCCCCCAACCCGAAATTCGGGTCAACTGCGGGTCTTCGGGTTGGGTTGGGGTGGTCTGGTAGTCAGTCAGCTCTGGCCGCCGGCCAGGCGCCGGGCGAAACCCCGGCACGCTCGCCCAGCGCACGGGCCGGCCACCCACCGGGCGGCCCGGGGGGGGAGGAGCGCCGGCGGGCCCGGCCAGTGCACGGGGCGCCTCTGCAGCGCCCGCGACCAGCCACCGAGCGGGTGCCCCTCGGCAGGCTCGGGTGGCCCCAGGGGGAGAGCCCCCGCGGGCAGTCCCTGCCTGGGGGAGCACCGATGTTTTTTCGGCTTCGGGGGCCCCGCAGAGATGCTCCTCTGCACATGGCCGTCTTGGGGCTCCTCTGGTCGTCTAGGGGCCACGCCGAACTCTCGTGAAGCCGCTCGTGCGTTCTTCGAGTGTTTTCGGGGCGGGGAGCCTGGATCTTGATCGAAGAATTTGGTCCCAGGAGCGAGGTTCTCCTGCGAAGAAAGATTCAGCGCAGAAGAGTCTTCGAAGAATCGTTGATTCTTCGAGTTCTTCGAGCGAGGCACCCAGGATCCTGATCGAAGAATTTGGCCACGGCATCGGCGGCACGGGAAGCCGGAGCCCAGAGGCTCGGGAAGCCCGGCCCGCAGAACACGGCAGCTGATGTCGAGTAACCTTCTCACGACACCCGCAAGGACCCTTACCAGTGCAAATAATGCTTCGAGATTATGTAGAGGAGGGGGAAAACCACAGACACAATTAACCGTCGATTCCCCAGAAAATATGGAGAGATATGGGCAGCGGGGGGAAGACGAAAACCCAGAAAATATTGGAAAATATGGGGAGTCGTATTATTTGTGTGTATTTATTTGTGTGTCCCAGGGCCCCTTCATATTACCCCATCACATTTCTTGTGACCGTTTGTGTACAGTCATGAGCCAGCCTCCCTGGCACCAGCCCGCGAGGATGGTTTGGAGTCCAAGTGCTTTATGGCTCTGCGGTTAGGTCGGGCGTGTCCCTGCAGGAGGAATGTTCAACAATAGTCAAAACATTGTCGGCTTCTAGTATCCTTGAGCATTTTTCAAGCATTTCTTGCATATGTTCAATTTTTCGTCCATAGTCCGCCTGAAGGGGGACATGCCCGACCTAACTCTGTGGTCCTGGATCTGGACACGGCTCCCCCGGACATGCACCGCAGCGCCGCCGCTGCGCTGACAAAACACAGCAGGCGCGCAGCCGTCTGCGTCTCTTTTGCGCATTTGATATGCGAGACGCAGTCGGGTTATGCCTCTTTCACCTGCTCCTAGTCTTAGTGGGACCTGGAAACGACAGGGCCGTTTTTTCACTGGTTCCTTTTTTGCAGTTTTTTTGCCAGTTCCGACGCTTTTTTTGTACCGGTTTCGTTGCCGTTTTTTAACCGGTTCTGGCTCCGGTTCCAATCCCAGAGCCGTTTGTTGCCGTTTCCGGTCGCCGTTTTTTTGCCGTCCCCATTTTCAAAAGTTTTTTTTTTGTTTTTTAGGAAGCGGTGAAAAAACGGCCGTGCCGTTTCCGGGGCCCGCTAAGCTCCCTCTGCGCTCTACCTCGACTAGGAAGGCCGCATCACGACTGCCATCCCTTGTTTGAGTTCACTGTGTGACCTTCTCTTCACGCAGGGTCACCAGCCAGCCCCCTTTCTGGCATCAGCTCGCGAGGATTGTTTGGCGACGATGTGATTCTGGCGTTGTGAGCCTGCATCGTTGCACGGCTCGCTCAGGTGTGCACCGCAGTGCTGACACCACAGCAGGCGCAGCTCAGACGGAGCTCGGCTCTTCCAGGCTGCCGCCCGAGAGGCGACATTACAGCATTTGGCTACGTACCAAGTCTTGCGCGGCGCACCATAGTGTGCCCATTCATGGTAGGGTTCACCATTCTGCCTTCTGCGTCCTCTTTGCGCATTGTCTGCGACGGTGCGACCCCCCCCCTCTCCGGCCAAAGTATAACGCTCCAGCACCCTGGAAGCGTTACCCTGGCACCTCGCAACCTGCTTTGAATCATACACGTCGCCATCGTCGTCATCAGCGTTACCGTCGCAGCAGCAGTAGCACGAGTCAGGAGGGGAATAGGAATATCTAGGAGCTAAAGATATCGTTCCGCGAAAACCGCCCCCAATAATCATTCAATTTCGGTGCGGTGCTAACGATAATCCCGGGGGGGGTTCTCTTAATTGCTTACCGAGGATACATGCCTGGGTCCTGCTACACTCTGCAAATCCAAGAACATGGAAACATAGTCCAAACATACTCCCAGAATGCACTTTGCACATCTAGATTAAACTACTCCAGAATTCTTTGTGGATTATCAACGAACCCTTTTGTACAGCTAAGTTTTCTCATCGATGTCCCAGGGCCGCATCTGCTCATGGCAGCGAATCAGCCTAGCCCGGCGTAGCATGGAACAACATAGCAGGATAACGTGACCATACCGACGCAACATAACGTAACATCATAACCCCACCGTCTCTATCATCATCATAGCATAGCACACGTACAATCTTACGATGTTTCATAACCTCTTGTTTGTTGTATTAAAGCAGCGGGTGAGTGCGGCAATGTGAACAAAATAGCCTACACGTAGAAAACAACAAAGCTTTGTGCGCGCATTCTAAGATTGCTGCATCATCTACGCGGTATGAAGTTTGAGATGGGGCATGTGAGTAACGGGCGAAGCCCTGAATCTACTCGTTCGCGTTTCATTGTACCCCTGGCGGCCCCTGGTCCTTGTCATACTCCTACTCCTTCTTTCCCACGGCTGGCCCGTCATAGTTCTACTCCTACTCCGTCCTACGTCTACCCCAAAGGCACCCCTTTTCTTGGCCCTACTCTGAATTGTTCCTGCTCAATACTGCCTTTAGCCCGATGTCAAGCAGAACAGCATCATAACGTGACCATACCCACCTAATACCACATACCATCTTAACCTCACTGAATCCATCACACCACAAGATGCCACATATGTACAGTCACAACACATATGATGACTTCTTTGTGTTTGAGCTAAGGTAACGGGTGAGCGTGGTAATGGGAAGCAACATACTTTTTCTGCAGAAGCGCTACGATCGATATCCTGGGAGTGTCTCGACATAGCACAGAAGAGCATACTATAGCAGGTCATGGCAAAACACAACATATCTCCATACCATGATCATATCAACATCACCGTAACCAACTCTCAAGTTTTGTTTCGCTTCGGCTAAACTACCAGAGTGGCACACACATACCATACTATAGAGTACGATCACTTCGCGGTGTGTTACTAAGGTAATGGGTGAGTGGGAGAATTGGCAGTTTTTCTTATCTGCACACATAACATGTTGACACACACTCTTCGCGCATTCTAGGACGGGTCCAGCATCTATGTGACATGGTCGTGGAGATGGGGTCGGCGGGCGACGGGCGAAGCCCTGAATCTATTCGCTCGTGCTTCATTATACCCCGGGCGGCCCCTGACCCTAGTCATACTCTTACGGATTCCCACGATTGTCTGTCATAGTCCCACTCACACCCCTGCCTCCTTCTACCTGGGACGGCCCTACTGCAGGTCCTCTTCCGACCTACTCCTGCTCAATACCGCCTCCGATCCCAGGCCCTACGAGGCCACGCGCGGCGGGGGCTGGTGGAGTGGGGAGCGCACGAAACGTTCTGCACAGCACTGTGATCGAATGCGCGCCACGGTCTGGAGGGGCCTCTTTGGAGGCCTCAGGCGGCATTGGCAGGTCTGGCGGAGTGGTGAGGAGGAGGAGGAGGCGTGAGGGCTCCTCCAGAGGCACCCAGGGGCCTCTGGATGGGGCTCTCAATGGGGACCTCAGGAGGACCCTTGGAGGGGCCGCCCGGAGGCACTCAATGACCATTCCATCTACTTCCACAGAGGCCCTCCAAGATATTTCCTTGAGGGCCTTTGAGGGGCCCTCCAGAGGCCCTCAAAGACACTTCCTCAGAAAGGTTGAGGGCCACCCCAGAAGCCCTCCAGGTGCCTCTGGAAAGGCCCTCAAGGGGCCCTCAATGGGGGGCTCAGGAGGCCCCTTGAGGCCCTCCAGAGGCCTTCCAGAGGCCCTCAGGAGGAGGAGGAGGAGGAGGAGGAGGAGGAGGAGGAGGAGGAGGAGGCGGGGGAGGAGGAGTGGGAGGAGCAGCAGCATGAGGAGTAGGAGGAGCAGTGATGGGATGGTGGAAGACTATTGTGTGGCTCCAAGAGTGCACCATCTCATGAATTTGCATCGCGTGACATGCCATAGCACATCGTATCACGGTCGCCAACCTAGCGTAACACATCGAAGCATAGCGCATCACATAACCAAACGCGACGCTTGGAAACCATGCTACTCATCGCGGCATAGCATACCATACGATAGCAGGTAACTCACATATTATGCGTGCAGTGTGGATTCTCAGGTGTCGTGCCCTCCCCGCCCCACCAGCCCCACCAGCGGCCCGAAGCCCGCAAAGATGCCCCCGCCAGACCGCGGCAAGTTTCGTGCCCTCTCCATTCCACAAGAGCCGCAAGTGCCGCCTGAGGCCTCCGAAGAGACCCCGCCAGACTGCGTCAAGCATGCGAGCAGTTTCGTGCGCTCCCCACTCCACCAGACCAGCCAGTGCCGCCTGAAGCCTCCAAGGAGGCCTCGCCAGACCGGGCACGTATTCGAGCACCGTGATACTCCTTTGGGTGGCGTCGCCTCCACTTGCAGCGTGAAGGTCATTTCGAAAGTGTGCTTGGAGCATTTCCGCATTATTTTCGGACTATGGTCGGACCATGTTTGGATTATGTTGGGACTCTTTTCGGACTATTTTGTGATTATGTTCGGACTATTTTTTGACGAGTGTTGGACTTTTTTGGGGTATTATGTAGTCTTGGTCGTGGCTTCATTCGGGCGGCCCGCGCGCGTGGTCGGGCGAAACACCTTGCACTTGCTTACGTGCGCGGCGCATCGGCTTTGCGCAATGTTCTGACGGTGTCGACGCACGGGGCGTTGCGGCATCAACGGTGGCGCCCGAAGCCGCGGGGCCGACGCGATGCGCGTCGTGCCCTTCGCGGACGCGGCGCGGGCGGAGGACGAGGGGGCAGCTGCCCCCCGAAGAGAGTTCGCGGGGCGCATCGGAGAACTTTTTGGTCGGCGGAGCATTTTCAGATTACTTTCGGATTCTGTTTGGAGCACTTAAATCAAATAGTCTATTTTCAGATGATTTTCGGATCCTGTTTGGGGCATTTATATCGAATAGTCCACACATAGTGCAACAAACGTCCGCGCGAACACGGGGGGGGGGTCACGACCCCCAATCCGCGGGCCCGCCCCGCGGACCAGATGGTCACGAACCCCATGCCCGCCCCTGCCCCTGCCCCTCAGAAGCGTTCCACTCCCCGCTTTCCTCCTCCCCCTCCCTCCCCCTCCCCCCTCTCCTTCTCCTCCTCCTCCTCCTCCTCCTCCTCCTCCTCCTCCTCCTCCTCCTCCTCCTCCTCCTCCTCCTCCTCCTCCTCCTCCTCCTCCTCCCCCTCCCTCCCCCTCCCCCCCCTCCCCCCCCCCTCCTCCACCAGGCCCCCCCCCCCCGGGACCCGAGGCGCCCCCAAGTGACCCCTTCGGGAAGCGCCCGGGCGGGCCCCGTCCGTGACCGAGGATGAGTGACCTCCTCGTCTCTCAGATGCGCCGTGGGCTGCTCGTGGTCTGGCCACGGCACTCGTGGTGTGCAGCGAGCTTCGGCGATTCTGCCATGGCCGCTGCGCCTGGGGGCGTGCCTGCGCTGGAGGCCGGGGTTCCCGAGGACTTGAAAAAAACGACAGGGGCAGGGCTCGTGCGTGGCTGCCTGTAGCTCTCGTCGTCGCCATGCGCCTCATCTTTTTAGTGTTGGCTGCACGTGAGAGTGACGCGTCGCCAGAGTGACCTCTGCTGCGTGGCACGGGGTACGCGGGAGGGGGCCAGGCCCAAACTCTCACGCCGCTGTTGTGCAGCGATCGGCAAGCTGTGCACCAGAAGGCATTCTTGCAGGGTCCATCTCGATCCGAGCAATCCAACGTGGTACACGTTCTAGCTGGCTTGATTCGATTCGATTAAGATACCCTGGTCGGAAACTGGAACAGGTTGGGGACAACGTCGGGGATGTGTGGCGTATATTTGTGAATCTGTTTCCCTGGGGCAGCAACAAGATATGTATACACCAGGGTCCTGTATACACCAGGATTCGCTTTCCTCTTCAAGCGTCAGTGCAGGTCCGGAAAAAGCGTCGGTGTATAGAGTTCGGTTCCCTACATTCTGGCTGGCTTAATCCGATTCGATTTAGACACCCCAGCGATCCGATTCGGCCCGATGTTTGCACGGCGTCGTTATGTAGTTTGGCGAGGTCGATCCGGTGTGGTCTCGACTTCGTGTCAGCGTAGCCCGACCCGACGCACGTTCCGATCCGATACGGTTTCCGCCCGATCCGATGCAGAACCATCCTGCTGTTGCGTGCGGCCGATCTTACCATTCTTACTACTACTACTGCTACTACTACTACTACTACTACTATTACTACTACTACTACTACTACTACTACTACTACTACTACTACTACTACTACTACTACTACTACTACTACTACTACTACTACCACTACTATAACTATAACTATAACTATAATTATAACTATAACTATAACTATTATTACTACTATTACGATTACTACCACTACTACGACTACTACCAATACTATTTCTTCTTCTTCTACTACTACTACTACTTCTACTACTACTACTACTAATAACACTACTACCATTACTTTTACGACGGCCAGTATTCGTACTGTGACTGCTACTACTATAACTACCACTACTACCACTACTACCACTTCTACTATTACTACTACTACTACTACTACTACTACTACTACTTCTACTACTACTACTACTACTACTACTACTCCGGCCATTACTACAGTACTACTACTACTACAACTACGACTATTATTGTTACTCCTACTCGTACTCATGCTCATACTCATACGACTATTATTATTACTCCTAATACTCGTACTCATGCTCATACTCATACGACTACGACAACGACCCTACTGCTACTACTACTACTACTACTACGACTACTACTACTACTACGTCTACGACGACTACTACTACTGCTTATATTATTGTTACTATTACTAGTCCTACTGAGGCTAGCTAGCATTACTCCTGCGACAACTACTTAGTACTACTAATATCACTCTTCCTACGATTTTCACTTCTACGACTTCTATTATGATTATCACTACTACTACTACTACTATCACGACTACAATAACTACTACTTGTACTGCCACGACTACGGTCATTAGTATTATACTTACTGTTATTACTACAACAACTACTGGTGCTACTACAACTACTACTACTACTACTGCTTACTAGTACCACTACCACAGCTACTACTACTTCGACTCCTACTACTACTACTACTACTGTTTCGATTGCTATTACTACTTCTGGTACTCGTACTACTATCACTACTACCAATACTGCGACAACTACGATTAGTACTACTATTTCTACGACTACTGCTGCTACTGCTACTGCGACTACTATTACTATTACTGTTACTTCGGCTACGACTCTTGCTACGACTCGTGCTCTAACTTCTACACCAATTACGACTACCACTATCGCAAGTACTATTCTTTTATATTACTACTGCTACTAGCCGCGACTATCATTATTATTACGAATAGTACTTTCACTATCTCTACTACTATTACTGTTAACATTATGTATTATAACTATTATTATTACTAGTAGTATTCCTACTGCGACACGTACTAGTGCTTGTACGAGTATTGTACTACTACTACGACTACTGTTACTACTATTGTTACTACTACTACTACCACTATTATTATTACTACTATTACTTTTCCTTAAAGAGTACTATTATGAATGCGATTAATATTACCATTGCTCTCATTCTTACTATCATTATTACTACGACTTCTACGAGTACTACTCGTTGTACTAGTACGAATACGGGTAGTATTACTACTCCTACTGCTACTACTACTACTACTACTGATATTACGATTTGTATAGTACTACTACCACCGCATGTCCGCTACTGCTAGTACGACTTTTATATTTACTACTACTACTTCTATCACTTCCCGTGCTACTACTACTACTGCCAGTACTAGTAGAAGTAGTAGTCGTAGTAGTAGTCGTAGTTGGAGTATTACTACAACTACTACTCTTACTGCTTTCTCTACGGCGACAACATTGCTATCATTATTTTTGGTACGACTACTAATATAACTGCTGCGGCAACAACTACCTTTATCATTTTTTACGACAACTACTACTATTTCTTATTCTGCTGCTACTACGATTGCTACGGTTATTGTTACTATTGCTACTACTTCTTCTACTACTTCTACTCCTACTACTACTACTCGTATTAGTACTAGCTACTACTACTACTACTATTACGACTACTACTACTAGTACGACTATTTCGAGTACTACTACTACTGCTACTACTACGTCGACTACTATATTGATTTTTATTATTCATGCTACCACTACTACTACTACTATTACTACTATTGCTACTGTTACTACTATTATTACTACTGCTACTACGACTAGTAGTAGTAGTAGTAGTAGTAGTAGTAGTAGTAGTAGTAGTAGTAGTAGTAGTACTACCACTATTACTACTACTACTACTACTACTACTACTACCACTACTACCACTACTACCACTACTACCATTACCACTACTACTACGACTACTACTACTACTACTGCCACTACTACTACTACTACTACTACTACAACTACTACTACTACTAATATAACTGCTGCGGCAACAACTACCTATATCATTTTTCACGACAACTAATACTATGTCTTATTCTGCTGCTACTACGATTGCTACGGTTATTATTTTTATTATTGCTACTACTACTTCTACTACTTCTACTGCTACTACTACTACTCGTATTATTACTACTACTACCTACTACTACTACTATTACTACTACTACTATTACGACTACTACTACTATTACTACTACTAGTACGACTATTTCGAGTACTACTACTACTACTACTACGTCGACTACTACTTTCATTTTTATTGCTCATACTACCACTACTACTAATATTACTACTATTACTACTGTTACTATTATTATTACTACTACTACTACCACTATTACTACTACTAGTACTACTACCACTACTACCACTACTACCACTATTACCACTACCGCTACTACTACGACTACTACTACTACTGCTACTACCTACTACTACTACTACCACTACTACTACTACTACTACTACTACTACTACTACTACTACTACTACTACTACAACCACTACTACTACACTACTACTACTACTACTACTACTACTACTACTACTACTACTACTACTACTACTACTACTACTACTACTACTACTACTACTACTACTACTACTACTACTACTACTACTACTACTACTTCTACTTCTACTACGACTACTACTGCTGCTGCTGCTGCTGCTGCTAGTACGACTACCACGTTATCCGCCAGCTGCTGTACATCAGCAGCCCCAGCGCGCGGACTTCTTGGATCTGCGCCAGACCCCCTTGGCGGTGCCTTTGGCGCCGCCCATGGTGCGCTCCGCGCGCCAGGGAGGGGTGGTCAGTGCTGATCCGAGTGGTCCGAGCCGGACCTCTGATTGTGTAGTTCTTTCTTCATTTCCTAAGATGGGGTTCTTGCTATTTTGCTATTGTTGTGACGTCTCCGCCTCCCGCCCTCCCGCTTCCTCATCCTCTTAGACTCATTCATTTTCAGATTCAATCATATTCAGGCCCACTTATACTCAGACTGGCTCACACTCGGACTCCTCCCCACCCAGACTCACTTACGCTCAGACTGACTCACACTCAGACTCAGAACCACTCCTACGCAAACCGTCACTCACGCTGTAACTCGCATTCAGATCCAGCTGCATGCGGCAAGTCCCGCCACCGTGCCAGCCCAGCGTTGTGGGTTGCGGATGATTCGACTGCACACGGGAGGCCATCGTGTGTGACATCTTTGGCCTCCTGAAGGCCTTGGGGGTCTGTTTGGCGCCTCTTGGTGGCCTCTTGGTGGCCTCTTGGTGACCTCTTAGGGCCTCTTGGCAGATGTCTTGGGGGCGCCTGGGAGGCTCGTTTGGGCTCCTTGTGCCGTCTGAGATTGCGCTTGGGCCGCCTGGGCGCTTTCGGAGTCCGTATTTTGCGGCTCTCTGGGTCGTCTTGGGGCCTTGTTGGGGACTTTGTGGGGCTCCTTGGGCCGACTTGGGATCCTCTTGGGCCGCTCTTGGGCCAACTTGGAACCCTCTTGGGCCGTTGAGGCCCTTGTGGGCTGCCTTGAGGCCATCTTGGAGGCGTCTTGGGCCGTCGTGAGCTCACGGAAGCCCGAACGGTCAGAATGCGAACATCCAGCAACAACCTTGTGACATCAATGATTTTGTAATCTTCGGGCCCTGCTGGAGGTTCTCTTCGAGCCTTCTTGGGCCGTCCTGAAGCCTCTTGGGCAGTCGTGCGGCCATCTTGGGCAGTCTTGGGGGCCTATACCAGGCCGTCTTCGGGGCATTTTGGGCCGTCTTGGTGGCCTTGGAGGCTTGCCTGGGCCGCCTTGGACACCAGCGCGGGCATCTTGGAGGCCTCGGAATGCCCCAGGAAGGCGTCGCAGCGCCCAGGGAGTCTCGGGAGAAGGGGGGCATGCACGCGAGGAGGTGCGGCGAGCGGGGGATGGGCGGGTAGGGTGTCCCGTAGAATACCGCAGAGGCCCCGCCAGGCAGCACTCAGCACTCGTCCACGCAACGGCGCGTCCACGGGCATGGAGGCGGATGCACTCGTAATGCGTAGCACCCCGCAGATGCGGTTAAAAGTGAGGGGGCTGTGGGGACGTCGGCAGTTTGCGAGTCTCAGCAGAAGTCCGCCGCAGGCGCCAAAGTTTCACACACTATTCAACGAGCCCGCCGCAGGCGCCGACTTTTTCGTTAAACCAATGTGGGTAGGTCGCGGGTGGGTCGCTGGTGGGTCGCAAATGGGTCGCGGGTGGGTCGCAGGTGGGTCGCTGTCGGGTCGCGGGGTGGGTCGCGGGTGGGTCGCGGGTGGGTCGCGGGGTGGGTCGCGGGTTGCGTCGCAGGTTGGTCGCGGGGTTGGGTCGTGGGGTGGGTCGCGGGGTGGGTCGCGGGGTGGGTCGCGGGGTGGGTCGCAGGGTGGGTCGTGGGTGGGTCGTGGGTGGGATGACGACAACAAATAACAACGCAACAAGCAGAATCCTCATCACGGATCCCCACTTCAGCCACGCACCCAGGGACAACAAATGACCGTTCGGCCCCCTCACTCTGACCTATTCGGCTTGGCCGTTCTCAGACTCACCAACACTAAGACCCACTCACGCTTGGACTACCTCATATTCAGACTCAAAGGGCGCGACCTCCATCGTGGGCTTCATTGCTGGCCCCTCGTTCAGGCCCTCACGGGATCGCTGATAAAAGAACTCACCCGTACCCGGACTCACTCACACTCGGACTCCCCCCTCACTTGCCTCTCATGCTCAGACGCACTCATGCCCAGACTGCCTCATGCTCAGAAGTCCCAGGATCACCTCCACCAGGGGGCATGGCGCTCGCCCGTTCGAGACCAGGCTGTGGGAATGTCTCGAGCGAGGCGCGCATGGGGCGTCGGCGACTCCTCGGGGTCCCGAGCGAGGCGCCTGATTCCGCACCCCAAGGGGCAGCCGCCAGGGGGGGTAGGACTGTCGCTCGTTGGCGGTCGGGTGGTGGGGACGTCCCGAGCCAGGCGCTCGTTTTCCACCTCCGATGCCTCCGATTGCTCTGTCCTCTGAGCTCCACGATCGTGCCGCGGTGCAGCAGGCCGAGACTCTCTCGCGCTCAGTCGCTCAGAGCGGGAAGCACCAGGAAGCGGGATGCACCTACAGTGGAGACCCATGCCAAGAAACACCCTGCTTGTCTCCAGGGTACCCCGGGTTTCATGGGTTTCGATGGTCTTGCTGTCAAAAGCGTGACGTCCCCACGCCAGACATCCATGGACGGCCTGGGCTTTCAGGGCCAGGTTTCTCGTGGAAGGTTTCCTGGGGTCGAGCCCCCAGTGTGTGGGGACCTCCGCGCCGAGCAGTCGTCTTCCCGATGGGCGAGCCCCTCCAGAAGAGCCCCCCCCCAGGCGAGAGGCGCGGCTCCGAGCTGGAGGGCGAGCTGCAGAGGCTGCGTGCCCTCTCTGAGGACGGGGCGGCCTGGGCAGGCGCAGTCGCCAGGGGGGGGGGCATGCAGCGTGCTGCCTCTGCGGGCTGCGCGTCGTGGAGTCGAGTCGGCCGGTGTGGTTCCTGGGCGTGGTGCCGTCGGGCCGAGGCATCACATCGAGGTCGGTGGGGGGAGGGCCAGACCTCGTGCTCCTCGTGCCCGCTGGGCGCTCTCGTGCCTCCTGGGACAGGGCGCCCTCGAGCGTTCTCCGGCCTGGCCAGCGGAGGGTCTCAGGCTCTGGAGGGGTGTCCCTCCGTCCTCGGTCCGGCTCTCGTGCCCCGCCCCCGCTCTCGATGGCCGCGCGCCTCGCCCGACGGTGCCCGGCCCGCTGCCGAGCAGCCCCTCCTCGCCGCCCCAGGACCTGCGGGAGAGGTGCCGCGCCGCGGAGGACGCGCCGTCCTCCTCGCCGCCCCCCCCCCTCTGCTTCGGCGGCGCGGCCAGGCGGGAGGCGGGATGGGGACAGGCCTGGCGTGCGCCCGAGAGCCGGAGACGCGTCCTCTCTGTTGAGCAGGGAACGAGGGGCTGGCTCCTCCTCCTCCTCCTCCTCCTCCTCCTCCTCCTTCTCCTCCTCTCCTTCTCCTCCCTCCTCCTCCTCCTCCCTCCTCCTCCTCCCTCCCTCCTCCTCCTCCTCCTCCTCCTCCTCCTGCCTCCTTCTCCTCCTCCTCCTCCTCCTCCTCCTCCTCCTCCTCCTCCTCCTCCTCCAGCCGTGTCGGGGCCCAGACCTCTCTGCGCCTTCGCTAACGCTCACTTCGACACGGCGCGGCGTTAGCGAACCAATTGGCTGCTGCGCGCGTCACGCTCACGTCGTCCTCAGCTTTCGGATGGCGCAGCGCAATGGTGGTGGCAGCAGCCGTACGCGGACCACCTGGCGCTGCCAGTCATGCGGGTGCAACATGAACCAGCTTTCATGGTTCTGGTGCAAGCATTGCGGGAGGAACTGGCAGAAACCCACCTCGTCTCGTGGGCCCTTAAGACGCCTGGCATAATGATGGTGATGGTCTTCGTCTTTTTGGATCTGACCGTCGTCAGCATCCCATGCGCCCTGGACTTCTCACCGCTGGAGTTCCTCCGCCGACGGGTGCGGCAGCCGTTGGTGGAACCCACAGCGGTGCTGCTCATGCAGGCCTCTCTTCCACGGACCTCGCCCTCCTCGTGGCCCTCACGGGCCGCGCAGGAGATCAGGAGTCGTCCAACAAGTACCAGGAGCAGCTCACCAAGCTCACGACGCGTCCCGTTGTTCCCGTGCCGCTGGAGCAGCGTGTGGCTCAGTGTCAGCGGGAGCGGGCCCGCTTGGCCAAGAAGCTTCAGTACGAGCTTGATAAGTTGGACAACTGGGAGTTGGAGATGGAGAAGCAGCGCACGCACATTGCCTCCATCTCCGAGCAGCTCACGCGCCAGGACGGGTCCGCTGGCGTCTGTGGTGCGCTCTGACGCGCCCGCGCCCGAGGCGCCCAAACTCAATATCGAAGATATGGTCGCTGGCAAGTTCGACTCGATCTCGGCAAGATCCACTCTTTCGACGGAGTCGACAACGAGTGCGAAGTGTCCAAGGATACTTGGGCGTTGGGGCTTGTTGGCGGTGCTGGAGTACAGTCGAGCTGCCCCCGTCCAGTCTTCCACCGCGTGGGCGCGGAGGTCGTCATGCGGCGTGCCCCTGGAGGCGCCGCCGTTGCGCGCCACCTTGGAGCACCTGGCAACGACATGTTCTGCGGAGCATCACGGAGGCAGCAGCTCTGCGGCACTCGGTCCCGGCGGAGATCTCAGCTCACAGTTGAACTCCTTGCAAGTGTGTGTGGGGGCTCCAGAGGAAGGCGCCAGGCACTTCAGGTCCTGTTTTGCCCGCGGAGATTCACGCGTTGAAGTCTTCTGACGTCGTCCGCGACACTGGGTTTGGTGGACCTTCGTTCGTAGTCAAGACGCGCTCTGGCATAATCCATTCGGTGCTCATTGATCCGCAAGGGCCATCTGGCGCCGGGGAGGCACGATGCTCTTGGCAATTCACATTAGGCTGCACCGCCCAGCTGGTCCGTCCCATCATTGCCGGCGTTGCGCAACGATCTTTCCGAGCGTTGTTTACCGAAGTGCAGGGGCGAACGCAAAAAAGGCGTTGCGCCTGCCAGATGCAGGGGTCGGCGAGCCATCAGGGGGACTTGGAGTTCTGGCCATTGGTGCCCCAGATGGGGCTGGCCAGGGCTCTCCTCCCTGTGGCGTTGGATCATCGTCGCCAGCTCAAAAAATGGGCCGGGTGGGCGGTCCGACATAACAAGGCTGTTGTGCCAGATCCGCAGGTGCAGAAGTAATAACCAGGTGATGTCTTTGGGGGCGGGCGTGAAAAGAAAACGAAATGCATGTGTGCGTTTGCTGCACAGTGGCCGTTTTGGCTTCAGGCGCATCGCGCACTTCGCCTTCCCCAATCACCCACGCCTGGTTGACGATCTCCTCGCTCATCCGGCCATTGGTCGTACTTGGGGTTCTGGCCGTTGGTGCCCCAGATGAGGCTGGCCAGGGCTCTTCTCCCAGTGGCGTTGGCTCATCGCCGCCAGCTCAAAAAGCGGGCTGGGTGGGCGTTTCGACATAACAAGGTTGTTTGATTAAATGACCGTCGACCCTGCTGCGAGGATTGGCGTTGAACATGTCTGCAGTCGAGTCATTCCAAACGTTTGTGACGCAGTAAAAGTAGGGTGCAAGCGACTCATGCGCGCATTGTAGGCTGAGAGGAGTTGTGGGACGGCGCACGCTCCAGACCTGAAGCGAGGGCGGGGTTCCAGCCTGCGATCGTGTTGGCAGGAGGAGGAAGAGGGAGGAGGGAGGAGGAGTACTACGACGATGGCGGGGCTCCAGCCTGCGATCGTCGCTGGCAGGAGGAGGAATATGAAGCAGGGGGGAGGGAGGAGGAGTTTTACGACGAGGGCGGGATCCCAGCCTAGGGTCGTCGCTGGCAGCAGGAGGAAGAGGGAGGGGGGAGGAGGAGTACTACGACGAGGGCGGGATTCCAGCCTACGGTCGTCGCTGGCAGGAGGAAAGGGGAGGGGGGAGTAGGTGTATCAGGACGATTCAGCGCCTGGGCGAGCCCCGTCGCGACCTGGCCGAGGCCTGGCGGGTGGTGCACGACAGATCGCCTGCGCGGAAGGTGGCTGTCCTTCCCAGAAGGGGGGTGTCATGTTCGAAGTCCCGTTCGGTTCCACCGCGCCCTCCCCCGACCTCTCGGGCCTGGAACCGAAGAGGAAACAGCGGCAGGTGCACACAACCCTCCGGATCTCCGCGCGGAGTTCTGTGATGTGCCGAAGTTTGTATGGAAGCAGCTTCCTGTTGCCTCATGTAAGCGATTGGAACGCGTTCCTGACGTTGCATTGAAACATGAAAAAAAAAACATAAGTATTACTCGGCGCTGGACCCCCGTGGCGGCGCGCCCGGCGCCGATCCGGGAGCTCCGCCTGGGGCTCCGACAGGGGAGGCTCGTGCCGTTTTCTCTTCCTCTCTCGGCGTCGCTCGGACGTGCGCATTTTTTCTCGGCGAGGACCATCGAGGAGCATCTTGGCTCATCTTGCGAACAAAAAAAAACACAAGCGCACGAAACTGAATCATGCACGGGGAATGGACGTCCGATCGATGGCCAGCTCAGGCGGAGGGCGGATGGATGGGGAGGCCGGGAGGAGCTCCTTGGCGTGCGCTGCCAGCCTCGCTGCCTCGCCGTCCAGGGCGAGACTCCGCTCACAGATCGGGCCCTGGGCCCCTCCTGGTGCCCACCGGTGGCCAGCCTCTCGACCTTGCGGCCGGCCGCGCGGCTGCGAGGGCCCCGGATGAAACGCCCGGGAGCCTTCCGGGAGACGACGAAGGCATCGGATCGACGACCTCGCCGTCTGCGCAGGTCCGGAGGGCGGAGGCGCTGCGTGCTCGGAGCGGCCCTGCCGCCGACGGAGGGGCAGTAATCACCGAGCGCGTTCCACTACGCGCAGATGCCTACTCGCAAACGTCCAAAAATCAAATCATGTTCGATGCACTGGAGCCTGCTTGCCTCAATGCAGTGGGTCCAAGCCATTTGCGAGTAGCTACTTTGCGAGTAGTGGGGCGCGCTTAAGCTTGTCTGGGTGAGGAGGGTGGAAGTGCCAGTGAGTCCGTGGAGCGGGATAAACAGGGGATTAGCTTCAGCCTCCACGTCCCAGCGCCTCCGAAGGACTGAGTGCCCAACTTCCTGCTGCAACAGAGGGAGGTGAAGAGGAGCAGGAGGAACATGATGATGATGATGATGATGATGATGATGATGATGATGATGATGATGATGATGATGATGATGATGATGATGATGATGATGATGATGATGATGATGATGATGATGATGATGATGATGATGATGATGATGATGATGATGATGATGATGATGATGATGATGATGATGATGATGATGATGATGATGATGATGATGATGATGATGATGATGATGATGATGATGATGATGATGATGATGATGATGATGATGATGATGATGATGATGATGATGATGATGATGATGATGATGATGATGATGATGATGATGATGATGATGATGATGATGATGATGATGATGATGATGATGATGATGATGATGATGATGATGATGATGATGATGAGATGAGATGATGAGGAGGGAGGAGGAGGAGAGGAGGAGAGGAGGGAGGAGGAGAGGGGAGGAGGAGGGAGGAGGGGGCCGCCGCCCCGCGGCAGGAGGGGGCCCGCGAGCGGGAGGCGGCCGTGCGGGACGAGGCCGCTCGCCAGCAGGCGCCAGCCAGCGTGCCGCCTGTGCCGCCGCCTGCCGCGCCATCCGCGGGACGCCCAGGCAATCCTATGCAGCCCAGGGTATCGGCCACTGGTCGGGGGCGGAAAAGAGGGGGATGATGACTAGGGGGGGGGGCGGATATCATGGCGGGGGCCACGATGTTCCCCCAGATTCTATGGCGCCTCTTCTTACTTCATCAGGTCCCTGGCCCCCCCGCTGGGCCGCGCACATGCCGCGGGTCGTGGTTTGCACCCCCCCTCTTGAAAGCCCCCCTCTTGGCCGCTCCCGAACTGGGACAGCACGCTGCGCTCCACACCTGTTTCCGCACCGTCGCTGTGCTGCCATCGGCTGTTGCGCCTTGTTGCCATCGGGGCCCGCTGGGTCAGGACACAAGAGAGGGCAGCCACAGCCAGCAGTCCGCACTGGAGAGCGAGTCAGGTACGGTCGGACCGAGGTATAAGATCGAGGTCGGAGGAGGAGGAGGAGGCGGAGGAGGAGGAGGAGAAGGAGGAGGGGGAGCAGGAGGGAGGAGGAGGAGGGAGGAGGATGAGCAGGAGGAGGAGCTCCTTCCCCGTGCGTCGCTCTGCGCCCCGGCTCCTCCTCTGGTGGTCCCAGGGCCCGACGGCGGGCCTCGGATGCCGGCATCGAGGGGCAGCGCCCGACTTCTGCACGGGCACGCCGTCGAAGTCTTGGGCGCTGTCCGTCCCGGTGTGCAGTGGGGGTCCATGCCAAGAGACCCTCTGCTCGTCTCCAGGGTGCCCTGGCTTCCTTGGGCTTCGATGGTTTTGCCGTGGGGAGCGCGACGTTCCCACTCCAGGAATAGATGGACGTCCTGGGGTCTCAGGGTTGGGCTTCTTGTGGAAGGTTTCTTGTGGACTGGCCTCCACTGTACGGCCTTCCTGACACCAGGGCGCAGGGGGCCTTGCTCGCACCACCTTGCGCCTCAGCGGCGCAGTTTCCAGGGCATCCCCAGGGTCGTGAGGATCATCGCGCTTCGCGCATCGCGGCTTGGGTTGGAGAGGTGCCCTTCTCCGAGGTGGCCTCGCGAGGGCGCGAAGATAGCTGCGCGTCGCGCATCGCGGGGCGCGGTGCACGAAATTAGGGGATCTAGAGTTTCACGCCATGTTCATGCCATCCAGCTGCCAGCGGCAAGTCCCGCCACTGTGCCAGCTCAGCATTCTGGGTGGCGACTGTTCGAGAGGTCAGGGGAGGCCGAGACGTGTGACAGCTCGTGTCTGCATGGGGGTGCTTATGATAACGCTAATACTACTGATGATGCTGATTATGATGATGTTGTTGCTGTGGTTGATGTTGTTGTTGCCCTTGTTGTTGTTGTTGATGATGGGGATGATGCGACGCCGATGCTGTTGATCATGATGCTAATGCTGATGCTGACGACGACGTTGCTGATGTTGTTGATGATGATGATGAGGATGATGCTGCTGCTGCTCATGATGATGATTCTGATTCTGATGGTGAGGATGCGTATGCTGATGCTGCTGGTGATGATGGTGCTGATGATAATGATGATGGGGCTGCTGCTGCTGACGACGATGACGACGACGATGACGATGATGCTGATGATGCTTATGACGACAATGATGAGGATGCTGATGCTGATGCTGATGCTGATGACGTTGATTATGATGATGCTGATGCTGCTGCTGCTGTTGCTGGTGGTGGTGGAGGTGATGATGATGACGATGGTGACGACGATGACGACGGCGATGACGATGACATTGATGATGAGGATGATGCTGATGCTGATGTTAATGCTGCTTCTGTTGCTGGTGGTGGTCGTGATGATGATGATGATCCGTAAGGGCTTCGCCCCATGCCGCTGGCCCCCTGTCTCGGATGATGGGAGATGCAAAAGCTAAATCATGAGGTGTGGGCGCCGCCGTCAAGCAGTGTCGGGACCTGTTTGTTTTTGGACCCTGACCCTACGGATCTGCGTGAGGTGTGCCACCGAATTTCAGAAATGTGGCAAATCCCATGTGTTTTTGGACCCTGACCCCTCCGATCTGCGTTAGGGGTGTCAATTTTTACCCACCCCAGCACTTCAGACAACACGCTCAGGGCGTGCTAACCCTGCCTGTTTGGGCCTCCCCCCCCTCGCGCGGTCCATCAACAAGGAACAGTAAGCAGCAAGAAGCAGAACTGTAACTGTGGAAACTGGAAGCTGCAACTGGTACAGGAAACTGCGAACCTTGAGCCTACAGCCTGGTGGCCCCACAAGGGGGCCGGCGCATACTGCTGAAACTCGTTTGGGCCGTTTTGGGGCTGGCTTGGCCTCGTTTGGCGGTGATGATGACGATGACGATGACGATGAGGACGATGAGGACGATGATGATGATGGTGATGATGATGGTTGTGGTGGTGATGATGATGATGATGATGATGCTAATGCCGCCGACGATGCTGCTGATGATGGTGCTGCCCAGATGATGCGGATGCGGATGTTGATGCTGATGATGCTGCTGCTGATGATGATGACGATCATGATGATGATGACGATGATGATGATGATGATGACGCTGACGCTGATGTAATAACGTTGTTGATGAGGAATGTGAGGCTGATGATGATGACGTTGATGCTGATGATGTTGATGATGATGATCATGTTGACGCCCACGATGATGACGATGACGATGGCGATGACGATGATGATGATGATGATGATGATAATGAAGATGATGATACTGATGAGGATGCTGATGGGGATGATGAGGGTGTCGACGATGATGATGCGGATGATGACGATGTTGATGATGATGCCATTGACGATGCCGCTGATGATGGTGATGATGATAATGATGATGATGAGGATGGTGATGATCATGATTATGATGCTGATGCTGATGATGATGTTGAGGATGATGCTGATCATGATGATGGTGCTGATGATGATGATGATGCTGATGATGATAATGATGCTGATGATGCTGATGCTGATGCTGATGCTGATGCTGATGATGATGCTGAGGAGGGTGAGGACGCGGAGGAAGAGCATGATGCTGCTGATGATGAAGATGATGACGATGCTGATGATGATGGTGACGATGGGAATGATTACGATGATCACGGTGATTTTGCGGATACTGATGACTATGATGATGCTGATGATGATGCCTATGATGATGATGCTGATGATCATGATGATAATGACGATTGTGGTGGTGGTGGTGGTGGCGGTGATGGTGGTGGTGATGATGCTGGTGGTGGTGTTGATGATGATGCATGACAATGAGGATGACGGTTTTGATGATAAGGATGATGATGCTGCTGATGATGATGCTGATGATGATGACGATGATGTTGATGCTGATGCTGATGCTGATGCTGATGATGATGATGATGATTTGGATGATGATGAGGATGATGATGATGATGACGGTGATGATGATGCTGATGATGACGACCACGATGAGGATGATGATGCTGATGATGATGATGATGATGATGAGGATGGTGATGATGACGATGATGATGATGATGATGATGATGATGATGACGAAGAAGATGATTCGGCAGTCGGCGATGATGACGATGATGACGCTGCTGCTGATGGTAATGATGATGACGATGACGACGATGATGATGCTGATGGGGATGATGCTGATGATTACGATTCTTATCTTATGCTGCTGCTGCTGTTGGTAATACTGCTGATGATGATGATGATGATGATGATGATGCCTGTGCAGCTCATTTCTGTAATGATGATAAGTATGATGATTATGATGATGATGCTGATGATTATGATGATGATGCTGATGCTGATGATGCTGATGATGCTGGCTCTGACGCTGATTCTGATGCTGATGCTGACGAGGATGATGATGCTGATGATGATGATGATGATGATGATGATGATGATGATGATGATGATGATGATGTTGATAATGATGATGCTGATGATGATGATGATGATGATGATGATGATGATGCTGATGCTGATGCTGAAGCTGATGCTAATGATGATGATGAGGAGGAGGAGGTGGAGGAGGAGGAGGGAGAAGGAACAGGATGGAAGGATGGAGGAACAGAGGAGGAGTAGGAGGAGGAGGACCGTCGTAAACCCAAGAGTGAGGACCAGTGTAAACCCAAGAGTCATTAACGATGTTGGAATATTCTCTCCCTCCAAGCTCCCTTTTCACGGGCCACTACAACGCTTCATTTCCACTGAGGGAACTGCCTCGTCGGAAGGCAACCGTTTTTAGACTCTTGCAGCATGCCCAAACATTGTTCTCAGGATTCCACCACGG